GAAAAGATTTAAGTTTACATACACATATGCAAGACACTTAGCTCTTGAGAAACAAAAATAAGTGAAACTAAATATACAGGTATACATGCACACGGAAGGCAAACTTGAACAGAAAACAAGAGTGACAATAAAGAAGAAACAAAGAAGAACTTCAAGCTTTCACATAGCCAAGAAGGAAAGAGACCAAAATCCAGCCAACAACACACATAGTTGATCTACCACCCTACACACACAAAAACTTTTCAACAGCTGATGAAGAAGAAAAAGAGAGAAAAAATGAGCAAGCATGCACACACCTTCATTTGCCACAAAAATAGAGCAGAAATAGGGAAGAAGTTGTCAGAGACTCTACATGACAAAGATGAATAAACGGCTGAAAGCACAAGACAAAGAATAGACAATGATAGGGAAAGTTAATCAACAACTTTGCTTCACTGTGGCTGACAAACGAGAGTGATGAGGGCGAGTATATGGAGCAGCAGTAGCACGCAAATGCACAGCGACAGTGAGCAAATTATGTTGGTAAGGATTAGGAAAATAAACTGACTATATGAGGATCCAGAGAAGTATATAATGGGGTGGGAAAAAAAAATCATGATGCTCTGTTTTTTTTTCCATGTGGGCAAACTGAATTGGAACAATAGAAGCAATGGGAAGAATTATAAAAAAGAGCACAAGGAAATCACAAAAAAAGACACAAGAGAATTACAAGAAAGGACACAATTTTTATATTTTAAAACCAAACTTCTTAGAAAATTTAGACTTTGGGTTCTTGTTAAAAATTTCTAGCATAATTTCCTATAAACTACCCCTTTCTAATTGCTATAAAACTTATTTAAATAAAATATTCATTAGGAAATTTTTTTGTTCAATTTAAAATTTAGGGTCATTACATAAGTGAATCTTGGTTAAATTAAATATGAGTAGACTCAAAAGCATTTATATTTGTACCTACAACCATCAACATCTTTATAAAAATGATCTTAAATAATATTTTATACATGTGAATTGTTTAAAAATAAAGTTAGCTTTTAGTAGGATCTAATTTTTGAATTTTTCTATTTTTTTTAAAAATTTAAACTTTTTAATATTATATTTAAAGCCGTTTGATTTTTGAAAACTACTCTGGTTCCCAATTCAACTTTGGTTTCTAGCTTAATAGTGGATAAACTCTTGTCAATCTAGCTTAATCTTGAAAATAGTTTTTGGATCCAAATTGAGTCATTAATGATAGCTTTGGTCAATAGTTATAGGTGCAAATGCAAAAACTCTTGAGCCTACTCATATCTAATTTAATCAAGATTCACTTATATTTGAAAAGTTATAAAATTATAATTTATATTTTTCTTATATTTATTTTCATATATACATAATATTATTTTTATTTAATATTATAATTTTATATTTATATATACATTTAATATCATTTTATTTAATATTTTTATAAGTTTATTTTTATTTAATTTTATGTTTTTAAATGATGAGGGTAAAATTGCTCTTCTAGTAATAGTTTACAAGCAAAATTGTATCTTAACTCATGACAAGTGGGTCCCGCTAGCTATAATAATGGACATTTAAACAGTGGGGGCAACATTGCTCTAATTTGATTAGTTTAGGAATAACATTACTATGATGAATAATTTAAGGACAACATTGCTCCATCAAGAATAGTTTAAGGGCAAAATTGCACCTTAACCCTATTTTAAACCATGCTAGCCCTTACTTTTTTTTTTAAAAAAGCTCATATAAAATGATTATCTAGAAAAAATTACTTTATATACCCTAATATATAAGTCGTTATTTCCAAATAAATGTTTTATATACTCATAATATAAAGCGATTGTTTTTAAATAACTATTACATATAAGTAAAAATAACCATTTCAAATACATTTTTTTGTACTAGTGATGGTTTTAATGATTGAAAATCATGTGGTTATAATTAGTTGAGTTCATGATAGAGTTGTAATATGTGCTTAAGTGAATGTTTGGTATTGTGATAAACACAAGCATATGATTATGGCATAAGATCAAGTATTGGTATATATTCTTGACTTGAGAGCATGTGCTTGATTTTGAAATAAGTTAATCAAGTTTGCATTTATGACATGTCATTGAATAACATGAGTATGTTGCATGATCATGAATAGGTGAGAGTTTATTATAGTGAATGAGGGTAACATGGAAATTCCATGTGGTGTAGCATCCATCAATATGTGTGCATGGTTGTTGGCATATTTGATTAAAGTGCATTTATGTTTCTTGTTCTTTGGAAATGGCATATGTGAGCACACTACTTGGGATCATTAGTTCCTATAAGGGACGACAGGGGTGGAGCAACTATGACACCTCAAAACTTTGAGAAGGGATAATCCATGGTTTGAAAGTGGGGAGTGAGTACCTTGGTTGAGTAACCCCTCATAATCGGAGAGTAGGCTTAATGCGGTCACACAGGTTAGTCATATATAATTTGATAGTCTATTAATTCAGCCAAAAGATATAAAGAGAAGAATAAAGATGGATTGCATATAATTGTGCATAACTATCATTATTTAATTATATGCTATGTGATTAATGATTAATTGTGTTGTGATAATTGAGAGTTAATAGGATGTCAGATGTGAATCTTTGCCTTATGTGTTTGTTTTTGCCACACTTGTATGTACTTGAATTTATGTGCCTTGGTTACCGAGATTGTATAATCTCACTTCCATTTGTTAATATTTTTCTAGGTGACGATCAAAGTGAGGCTAATAAGGAGCATTGGAGACTAGCATATAGCTTCATAAGTAAAGTTTCTATTTATTTAATTTGTGTATTTGAATACTTAATGTTGCCAAAATTAAGGGCTTTTGAGTGTAACTAGAAAATTAAAGTCACGCTCAATAAAATTAAACATGTCTTTTGTCTTGTGCATTGTTCAAAGTCTCTGCTAAGAAATTAATTTCACATATTTTTGTAAATGGGACCTAGCATTCAAATGTGTGATCTTGGGAATGACAATTAATTGTAATGGATGACTTGTATTGTGTAGCATGATTATGAAGTATGCATGTGGTTGTGATGGTTAGTGGTTAATTATGGAGGAGAGATACTTGGTTGATCAATTGTAAGTTTGACAAGTATGTGTTAGTCCTAAGTGTTCTAGGATCCTTGTTTGATACCGGATTGAGGTGAAACAAGAGCTACTAGTTAGAATATTTAATTATTCACATGTACATGCTTGGATCACCTTAATAGGAAATCTAAGTTGAAAATTAGGTAACTTGAAAGTTGGATTTTGTACTTGTTATTTTGTTGCTATTATGGTGGGTGCATTACGATTGAATGCCTAGTTAGCCATGACAAATGTAATTTATTGTGTTAGCTATGGCAAGCAACATTTATGCCACAAGCTGCAGTGGACACACTCATTTTGGTTGCAACAGATTGGTCTAGTTTTGAAGAAATGATCCTTTTACACCTATTTAATCTATTTTAATACTCAATTACTTTTCCAAGCTTCTGTAACCTTGTATACTCTAATTTTAAATATTTTCAATAGCCTTATTTTACTGAAATTAATGTTACTTTGGGACCCGTTTTCTTGGAAATAATTTTAATTGTCCTTTGGAACTCTAAATGGCCAAGATTGATTTTATCATCATTTTGTATCTTTCACACTTAATTAATTGGCTTTATTATTGCAATTACTTTTCACTATGGTTAATGGTGAAATTAATGTTGGGACATTACATCCAACCCGCACTTTCCCTTATAGGGAATTGGTGGTATTGAGCGTGTCTCACCCAACATGTTTAATTTTTTAGCAGAGACTTTGAACAATGCACAAGACAAAAGACGTTTAATTTTATGTTACATTTTTTTATTCCATTGCTTTCATTTTTTCTATTAAATTAATAGATTGATCTGCATTGATGATGATACGTGTAATATCCTAAATTTTATTGGATCTTTGAATGTCAATGGACACATTAAAATAAAGGACATGATTAAGAGCTGGGCCTAAAAGAGTAGGATGATGATGATGATATGTATTTAAACATATAAACTATGTGAAACTAAGTTGTAAAATCAAATAAAACAAATCAATAATGATTAGAAAATCAGATAAGTTTCTTATATTTTTATTTTAATAACTATATTATTAAAAATATTTTAAATTAATTTAAATGAATGGCAAGGATCAATTTGGGTTGAAATGGAGGGCTAAATTGCTCTTGGCCTTGATGAGCATTCGGTGTTAATGTGGACCTAGTTTTTTTAATCCACTTTCATTCGAAAAGGAAAAAAAGTGAGTATGCTGTATTTTTCCTTTTACTTATTGAAAGTTGAATTGGAACCTTGAGTGGTAACTAATGGAGTATCCGATACTATCTTTTAAGTTCAATGCATATTCTCAAGTAATTAATATGGAGATAGGGCGAAACATGTATAAATATAGGCCTATTAAAAAATTAAACACACAATTAGCTCTTTGATCTCTCCACATACATCAGAATTTCGTCTAAATTCCAGGTTTATCTTGTACGTGACAGCTCCTCCTCCTCTTCTAGTTGCTTCTTTCATGCATTTTATTTATATATTTAAGGGAATTTGCACTTGAAATTTTATATATCAGTTTTGGTTAAATAGAATTTTTCTCTCTACATCGAGGTAATATTCTTTCAGATCATTTTCTTTTGGGTAAAATATCGAGAAGAAGAATAATTGTTTTTATTTTTGATTTTTGATTTTTTCATTATTGGTCCTTGCCAATTGCTTTTCTTTACTCCTAACTACAATTCTAATTCTTCACATGGAATGCCTAAAATTGAATAAAACAATTTCAAACATCCAACTCCCACACACACACAATCATATGGGGATTGAAATGTAGTTTTAACTAATAACATATTCTTTATATGTAGTGTGGTACATACTATATACATTATTAAATCAAGTTTTATTATGTTGTTCATTTGTCTTTCAAGGTTTTTATCAAACGTCAAGAATAATAAAATGGCTACTTGCAAGAATACGGTTGTGTTCATAATGGGATCAACAGGAACAGGAAAAACCAAGCTTTCAATTGACCTAGGGTCACATTTTCCTTCTGAAATCATTAACGCTGACAAGATCCAAGTTTACAGGGGTTTGGACATTATCACCAACAAGATCCCAGAATCTCAGCAACGAGGAATCCCCCACCACCTCCTTGGAATCATCGAAGATCCTGACTTTGACTTTACTCCCACCCATTTCTGTGACCAAGTCATCTCTGCAATCGAACATATAACCAAACAAGGACACATCCCCATTATCGTTGGGGGGTCCAACAATTATCTTGAAGTCCTCGTGGAAGATCACACTTTGGACTTTCGTTCCAAATATGATTGTTGCTTCCTCTGGCTCGATGTATGTCTTGATGTCCTCTTTCCCTATCTAGACAAAAGAGTTGATGAAATGGTGGAAGCAGGATTAGTGGATGAGACTAGAGAGTACTTCGTACCTGGGGCTGACTATGCTATTGGAATCAGAAGAGTCATTGGTGCTCCTGAACTGGACAAGTATTTTAAAGTTGAGAAAGATGCTAATGTTGATGATGCTTATAAGAAAGAGTTGCTCAATGACGCACTTCAGAGAATGAAAGAGAACACTCGTACGCTAGCTCGAGGGCAACTTTCAAAGATACATCGCCTCAATAATGAGCTTGCTTGGGGATTGAATCGAATTGACGCTACTAAGGTATTTGAGGCTGTTTTAAGTGGCAGTGCGTATCAAGTTCTGTGGGAAGATATTGTTTTTAATCCAAGTAAAGGGATTGTTCAGAGATTCCTTGAAGGAAGAACAACATATGAGAGATGGGAAAGCTATACTGAATATTATCATGATTTTGGCTTCAGAAAAAATAATTAGCTATTGAAACAATGTTTTGGAATATTTAGAACATATTTCTTCAAACTATCGGAATTTTACTTTTTATAAATATATATATACATTACTTTTATATTATTTTTTTAATTTTCAAATGTTTATTCTTTATCTACCAGATACTAAGATCTCAAAAAACATACTCTCTCTATTAAAAAATATAAGTTATTTTAATTGAATCTTATCTTTCAATAAAGTAGTTGTTTGTCTGTAAACTAACACTATCTTTATATATTTATTTATATTTAGTAGAGTGTTTGATTTTAAATAAATATAAAGTGATTTTTTTTATCAGGGGCACTTTTGAAAAAGGTGCAATAATTATACCTTGAAACACTAAAAATACCTTATTTATAAAAAGAAATATCTTACATTCTTTATCATCTAACCTCTTAAAAAATACACATGTATTCATCATGATATTTAGGTACCATATAATGTGATATAAGATATATATATATATATATATTAACATTACATATAAATTAAATCTCTTGGTAATATACTATTAGATATCGCATAAATGCATGATAGTGTATGCTTTGAAAAATTAACGGTATTTTCTAGTTTTGACGTGATATTCGATAAAATAATGCATTGTGTAAGTTTACATTATATGAGGTTCGGTAATTGGTGAAAAATTTGCTCTAAATAAAATTATCAAAACATATGTTACATTAATTTTTAGAGAAATAAAAGTTATTCAATTGAATTAAAATGGAAAAATAATGAAAATACCCCTTATTTATTGACGTCAGTATTTAATATTATGACTATGTTAGTAAAAATCCCCCTTTTTCTATAAAATATGGCATGTCATTATTATCAATAATATATATATATATATATATATATGTTTGTATGTATCATTTATAGGAGTCCGTCCGTCCATCCATCCATCCATTTATAACCTATAAACCGTGTGATTTGCCTCAAATTCCATAATATGAGGAGTGTATTAATTGCATCCAAAGTGCGTTTACTCTTTTTTTGGTACATAAAATCTTCTGCTACGATAAAACAGGATTTTGATAATATTTAAAAAATATTTCACAATATTTAATTGAATTAAATAAAAAGGGAAATACAAATATAATTTAATTTTACTAAAAATCTTCTGCTACGATAAAACAGGATTTTGATAATATTTTAAAAAAATATTTCACAATATTTAATTTAAATTAAATAAAAAGGGAATACAAATATAATTTAATTTTACTTTCCTTATATCAATTTTATGATAATATAAATTTCTTTAAGAAAACTGAAATGAACAATAGTCTGGAGCTACGGAGTAAGTACTAGATGACAACAATTTTCTGTTTATGGAAATTAAAATCATGTTTTAGAAAATAATTAAAGTTTCCTGTTTTATAAAATAGATTAAAGTTTCCTCAAGATTTTATGAGATTTATTTATTACCAGATTCTAAAATATTAAGGTTATTTTAATAAACAATTATTAAAAATGGTTAGTAGAAAAAGCCTTAGTGAATGATTTATCGGGCTTTTTAAGGCATATCTTTTGGGCTTCAGTTTAATCTTATAGGTCCGATCCAGACTTTTGCATTGCTGGGCTAAGCTTACAATGCTACTCAAATACATCCCTCATTCATCCAAAAAAAAGGACTTGGAATCCTTAGCTTGAAAGCCACATTATATTAGATAACTACCATGTAACAAAAATCAGGGCTCCTATGTTACACAGAGATCGAAATAGAAGTCACAATATTCAGTCTTGTAAACAATATGACTTCATGTCTTCCCCTAGTTCATATATATACATATATACATGCATACATGTGTGTGTGTAATATACCTTTAGCCTCAGAATATATTTTAACAATAGTGCAAAACGAGGCAATAGGCTGGTGGGTCAGAAGTTTACCTTTATTGTGAGGAGGTTGAACTGACAGAGGCTCCCAAGTCCTATCGTGAATTCTGTTGAGTTTAAACTACTTTGGATTTCTTTCATACAATGATGTAGTGACAACATCATGAAAGGATATGGGAGGTTACTTTCCTAAACATAATGCCCAAAAAGAAGGGGACGATGATGAGATGACAAATGAGGAAGCTCAAGGACATGAGACGAGTGGAGTGAGGTGGCCGAAGTTAAAGTTTATGAAGGAAGAATATGAGCAAAGGTGCTAATCATGGATGAATGCACTGATTGTCAAATTGATGGGTAGGAATATCCCTATAAGATTTCTCAGACCTTGACTAGTCTGAATTTGGAAAATACAAGACTTACTGTGGATCATGCCCTTTGAGCAATGGATAATTTATCGTCTCCTTTGCCTGGTAGGAGGATTTGGATTATGCATACCAGGAGGTACCGTGGATGATTGATGATCATTACCTTTAGTTCAAAGATGATAGCTGAATTGTAATCCTTAAAAGGTGGAGACTCAACGAAGAATTGTTGCATGGATAAGGACACCTGATTTATCATTGGAAAAGTGGAGTTTGTATAGTGCATAGGCAATATGGTTGGATGAACTCTAAAGATTGATCTCTCAGATTCCATTTCTGACAAGGACAGGTTTGCTAACATTTGGGTTGAATTAGGTATAGGTTTTCCTCTCTTGCCATCATTTATAAATTTTGGTGAGGATATTAAGATTGAATACGAAGGCTTGCATCTTGTGTGTTTCAATTGTGGAAAGTATGGATACCATATAGAGGTTTTCCTAGAGAGATTTGTTATTGAAGAGAGTCAATGTAATATCTCCAAATGTAACCACAAATTAACCCACTCTACCATGGTAGAAAGGCTTGATCATAGTTAATTATAGTAGAAAAGAAAAGAACTAAAAGGGAAAGCCTACCATGGTTAAAAGAATTTAACTTATAATATTGAAAACCAAAAGATACCTCTACCATAGTAGGGAAAAAAACTTATAGTAAGGGCAAAAGAATAAAAATACTTAAGAAGTCGTCAATCAAAACATCCAGTAACATAAAGTGAGGAAAAATACACGAGTGCCTGTAAAGTTAATATAGCCAGTGCATCTGTGGCCAAATCATTAAAATCCAACGATATTGACTGTTATTCTGTGGATATGAAATTAAACGATTTGGTTACAAATGCATGGAAAAAATAATTTCATGAGCACTTATGAACTTTCCTCACTTTTAGGTCATTAGACGCTTTTGGCAGATGACATTTTTAATATTTTTTTCCCACTTTGCCCTTATAGTAATGATAATCTACTATAATCAAAAGGCTTAAAAGTAGGTTTATATAATTAGAAACTCAATAGAATATAATACCATGATAATAAAGTAGATAAACAAACCAATAAAGATCTACCATAATAGAAAAGAATGAGCCACTATTTTAAATCACTATTATGATAGAAAAGTTTCAAAGTACACTTATAAACGTAAAATGTGTCATAAAATGAGATCCCCAAAACATAAATCAAAACAAAAACTCTTTACTTTAAACAACATGAAAAAATTAGTGTCAAAATTTGTTTATTGTTAAAAAAATGTGTTTGAAAGCATGAGAGAATCATTTAGCTTATGAAAATATGTTTTAAATTAAAAATTCAAAGCAGACTAAAAACATACTAACCGTACATTCTCCATGATGGATAACATATCGAAGAGACACTATAGTGAAACATCAAGTACACTACACTAGACATCTCTGTACTATAGTGTTGCAACCAAAGGCGCCGTGCAAAAATTTCATGATAGCGCTTTATTTTTACAACAGCACTAAGGAGGAAACTTTCAAAATGCACAACTTCCCCCAATTGATGTTTAAGAACCAAGGGAGGCAATTGAAGTTGTTTAAGAACCATAGGGAAGGCTTATTCTATGATGTAAAATTCACTATAATTAACTTACTAATTAATTTCACTATCATAGTAATAAAGTATTGAATCTCATATTAGCTATTACCATCGTGGATAAAATTAACCATGGCCAAGAAAGTCTAACACAAATTTAATAAGAAATACTTTTTAAAAATGAGATTTATTCCAATTTTTAAATAATATTTTTGAAGATAATTTAAGCTTAAATCTTTTAAAATTAGAGTAATCTAACGAATAGAAGAATACAAAAATCATCCAATAACATCATGCATCTAAACAGAAAAAAATCATCAAATTCCCTATCTTGGCACCATCCATTATGGCTTGTGGTACAGTGGTGATCCACCATGGCTAAACACAATCTGTTGTGGCGCACCTTGAATGTATCACGCGTTACAACTTGATGCATGTCCACCATGGCCATGTTGTGTGACAAAAACATGCTATTATGACAACAAGCCTAGCCCAACTTCTAATATGCATAACTTTTCTATCTGAAATCTAATTGAAGTAGTTGAAATGCCCACACGATACTTATTTCAAGCTCTAGCTAATGGCCTTAGTTCCAAACCAAAAATAACATATGAGAAAGTTGGACACCTAATACCATTTTCTACATTTTAACACTTTTCAAGTTAACTCAAGTATCCAACCCTCTTCCCATAATCCAATGGCCTGCTATGGGCACCAACCCATATTCAAGGGTCTTAAACAAACCAATACAAATAATTACATATAGTAATACACATAAAACTCAATTTGACCTCCCAAGTCCATAATTCAACCATACATAGTCATGGGAGTCAATTCCACATAACAGTATGATCCTATCATACTTCTCATTCCTTCAATGTAACCATAAATCCATATTCAAATCCATTGGCCAACTATAGCCCTCAAGAGCTTGGTTTATAAAAGTGGCTGGCTATACATGCTTATCAATTATCATGTCCTAATTAAACTCAATGCATTGTTATCCTTAGTTATTAATATGTGTGTGTGTGAGTACACATATAAACATAAATTCTCTACATAAATATCCAAGAGGTGTTACAAATATAAATACTAATGATTAGCCTCTAGATCCTTTACCTTAACCCTAACTGAGGTGTTACTTGTAAAATATTAATCACGAGGTGAGATAAATATAACAGTA